CCAAGCCAAATTGCTGACAGGTCTTTCAGTCTCCGGAACGAGCAGCTCGACACACGAGCCAAAACGCCGCGAACCAAATGGTTTTTTTTTTTTTTTTTTTTTTTTAGCACCAATGCCGAAAAAAACAAGCCGCAAGTTCAGACCAAACGGCCAGCGAGCTCACCTCCGGCTTTTTGACTCGACCCTCCTGGAAGGAGCACGTGCGCGGGTCGTGCGTGCAGTCGTGTCTGTATTTGCACCAGTGGCACTGGTACGGGCTGCTCACGCATGACAAACACCTAAAAGGAGAACAAACAAAATAATACAGTGAAACTCCTGTACAACGAAACCTACATGGGCAAAATACCCCCTAGTGTGAAAAAATCTTCATGCATTAACACCATTCCCACTCTCCTGCCCCCCATACAACGAAAAAAAAACCCTGTTGCGTTGTACGAAATCTTTTTCTCTGCTCTTGCCTCGCGACGAGATTCACTACAAATGAAGTGTCAGATAAGTGTGTGCTCATACTTATGCACTATTGGAATAAAAATAGAGTACACATACGTTTGTGTGTGCGTGTACACATACGTTTTTTGTGTGTGTGTGTGTGTGTGTGTGTGTGTGTGTGTGTGTGTGTGTGTGTGTTTACATCTGAGATCAAATGTGCTACAGTGAAAAACCCCCCGTTGTGAAAAATTTCTTGCCGCAAACATGATTTCGTTGTAGAGGAGTTTCATTGTAAATCCGCGTGCCCGCCAGTTCAAAAGCGAAATATGCGACAAAGGCGTTCAGACTCACGATTTGTGCACGCTGCAGTTGTAGAATACAAAACTGGTGTTGGCGAACGCCAAGCCGGTCTCCTTGGACTTGAGATAGAGTTGCACGATCTGGTGGTCGCCTGGAGAAAACACAACCGGGCGGATGGAATTTTATCACTTGTTCACACGGCGACGGAGGAGCGCCGCAAGTGTTCCGCTTGTTGCGACGGTCTCTTCGGGGGTGGGGGAAAAGCAAGTCTTTTCAGGGAGTCTCAGACGAGCTAAAAGCGGGAATGCGATGAAACGCTGTACCTCGTCTGTGTCCTTTTGTCAGGCGCTAATGAAGGGCTTCATGTTTAATTCATGATACACACTCACACACCCGCGCGCGCGCTGGCACGCGGGGTCACCTCGCCACTGTCGACGCGGCCCACTCTTTCTTCCAGCTTGGCTAACAAAGAGGGAATCATTCATCAATCAAAGTAAAGCACCCCTGACAGTGGATCTGTTCTAATTAGCCCCCCCCCCTCCCTAAAAGTTACCTTGAAGGCTGCTAACGCTAACTTCCCATTCCTCCCAGGCTCCTTTTTCCTCCCAGGCTCCTTTTCTCAGTGCGGCAACCAATGGCTAATTAGTTCGCCGTCGACGCTTCTTTTACCTTTGTCGACGACGACACGCGGCATTTCCTTCTCGGCCGGGGAGAAGCACTTGATGCGGTTGCCCTCCACCAGACCATTCATCTCCGCCAGGTCCTCAAAGGTGCAGTTCACTCCCGCGGAAAGCTCCGGCACGTTGTGAGCTTCCAGGACCAACTTTTGGGAGAAACAGAGGGAAAATCGTGATGGGCATATGATAACCCGATAACCCGATAAGCTGTCCAGTGTAGTGACCGCTGTCCCCGAAAGGGTTAAAGCAGGGGTGTCAAACTCATTACAATGATACCATACTCTGCTGTAAATAACCAAAATATCATCTCTTTCCTTTGTTTTGGTGTAGCGAAGCAAAAGAACATGAGGAAAATGTTGAAATTTAATGAACAAATCTTTTACCGAACATTTCATGAAACACCTTCGATTTCCTTCGACGAATGTGCAATTTACAATTGGTATTGAAAAATATAGTCATGCATTTGAAGATTAAACGAGATTTACAAAGAAAGGGTTTTTAAAACCATTTACACGTGCGCATATAAAATCTAAATTGAATCCCTGCCTAAACTTTACAAACTCAAAACAAAACAGTGTGCCCCCTAGCGGATAATACATGAATTGCATCTTATTAAAAATATTCATTCCGTGTCTTTTATGCATTTTGAAATTATCCTGCGGACCTGATCGAACCTCCTCGGGGGCCGGTTCCGGCCCGCGGGCCGTATGTTTGACACACCAAGTGAAAGGCTTGTTTTGCACACTCGGACAAACTTGTAAACTCTTTTGGGTGTCTTCCAAGGAAATAGAGAGAAACAAAAAGTGGAGGTTGTTGGGGATGAAAGGGATGCAGATTTCCCCTCATGACTTGCAAAAGCTGCATCAGCTCAGCACCTATTGGACTTTGTGCGGGGGCGTCCTTGAATATCGAGGAAGCAGGTGTACGGTGGGGGTCAAGACCGGAATATACATATTGATGGGACGAGCGCGGTCCGCGGCGGTCATCGGTCACCGGTTTGATTTGCGGTGAGGCCCGTTCACACTCGGCCAGAGCTGCATCAGCAACGGAGGAAAGGGCCGAGCTCAGCTGTTTTTAGATTGCGCTTTAATGAAGTCGGGAGGGGGCGGGGTCGAGGCCTTCATCTCCGACAAGTTCTCTCTCTCCCTCTATTTTCCAACCAACAACAATAATAACAATCCCGTCGTATTATCTTCCTAATACGAAGTCAAAGAAAAGTGAAGGAGGACGTCTCGTCCCGCCTTGTGCCCCTGCCGTCGTCGCCTTAGGGTGAAACTCCACCCTGGGAAAAGGTTAAACACTCATGCGGAGGCTTGGGAATGAGCCCGATCACACACCCACACGCACACCCACACACACATCATGACAGCCGCGCACACGCAGTCTATGAATACCATTAGAGTGGCGCAGAGGTGGAAAAGCAACAATGGTGTGCGTGACCCCCGGAGCAACACAGATGGGAAATGATCATTCAGGCCTGACCTCGGGAAATCAAATAGTATCGTACAAGGGTGCACACTGTCTATTCACCCGCAAACCATATCGAAGGCCCAAAGGGGAAATGGAAATGTGAGCAACGCCGCTGCGTTTGAATTTTTCTTTGAAGCGTTTACAATTAACCCTTTCATGCACCTGATCACATGATATGCTGGCCACTGTAGTAAACCGCTGTCGCCTGAAAGGGTTAATCAAATGTAATTTATTGCGTTTGTTACAATATACGTGGCAAGAAAAAAATAAACGTGTGTATTGAGTGAAAAAAAATACAATTAGATATTTTTTTTGAAAGATCGTTTGGCCTTATGAAAAAAAAAAAAAAACAAGACACCTGACAAAATTTTTTGGGTGGATGATGGAACGGATTAAAAGCATTTCCATTCGTTTCAGTGCGGAAAGATGATTTGAGATGAACGTTTGGACGGAACAAACTAAACTCACATGCCGCCGTGGTATTCAAATGCTCGTGGAGGGCCGACAATCAACTATCCAGGGGGCTGCGTTTAGCTGCCAAGCATCCCGATGCAATGCCAAGCAAATACTATGGGTATGTTAATGAGTGTTTCATTGGACAGGACAGCACATTTGCACAGCCGGGATTTGAATTGCGTCGCTGCTGGCAGTGCCGCGCGATCCGTGTAAAAGAGCGGCCACAAATCGGAAACGAGCGCAGAGTGTCAATCCGTCTTCTTTTTCCGAACGGCGACATTAAAAACCCGACGTGGACTCACCGTCACGCTGAACTGCGACACCGAGATGTTGTTGGGGTGCACGCTGAGGCGCACGCACTGCTTGATGTCGGAGGCAAAGCGGCGAGGCTCTGACGAGCGCTCGCATTTCTCTTTTCGGGTGCACCTGCAGAGAGAAAAAAAAAAAACACGCACCTGTTGGCAATGCTGGGAACATTCTTCGTTTTGCCTTTACAGGGTGTGCGGGGGAGATATTCTTTACGGTGGTCTGTAAATGGACCCCCGGTAGACTTAGGTGTGTGTTTTAAAAACAATGGCGGCTCTATATGTGGAAGTGGAGCGGGGCCGTTGGGAAGGTTTTAATGAGTGGCATTCATGGGTGATGCCAAATGCAGGTGGAGGTTTATATTCCAGCTAATACGACAGCAGGTGGTCTGTGATTCGTCTTTCGTTGGAGCGACGCACACCCCTAACCCAAAAAAAAAAAAAAAAAAAAAAAAAAACAACCCAGGCTAAACAATTGTCTGTATATTTCCATCCAAAAAGCGGTTTGGATAGGCTACAATCGTGACCGTCGTGGGGCAAAGTGACCGTTTGACTGACCGTCGCCGCCTAACAGGCGTCGTGGCGATCTGAAAGGTTTCGATTGGCTCTGAATGGAGACTAATCTGCACTCGCTCTCACCTTTGATAAGGTGACACAATTAAAAGCGGGAGTGGGTGAGAAGGCCACGGATGGGATCTGTCGCCGCCCGCCACCGCCGATGATGTGTGGGTGATATGCTCCAACGCAAAGCCCCCCCCCCCACCACCCCCCTTAGATGAGCTAATTGACTCCACGAGGTCAACACGGGCCGGAGAGGGCTCCAATCAAGACGGACCGGGAATGAAACAAATGGCTTGCTTGATTTATGATGTGACGTGTTACGTGAGACTCCGTAAAAATGCTGCATGAAATCTCAGATCTGATTCATTGTTTACCAAAAAAAAAAAAAAATGCACTCTGTTTACCAGCGTGAAGCCAATTAGGATCTAACCTGCGCATTATCGCACAAGGCGTGCACGGAAAAATGCCATACATACTGTGCTAATAGCCTCGGGCTGTGTGCGATACTATTTTCACACTAAACGACACACACACACACACGCACACACACACAGAGCGACGCTATCTTTGAGTGCTGGTCCCCATAGCACAAAAACGCATGGAGGGGCCTGTGGGAGAGTCATTACCTGGCCCAATGGCCGTGACCCCACTGTGGACACACACACACACACACACGCACACGGCGGAACCTAAGGCAGTGCATCTCTTCCATCAGTCGTCCAAAAATTGAGACTTAAGCTCAGTTTTCGAGAATGTAACTTTAGCATTAGCGCTGAAAGCATTGGGTAGCACAACGGAGCTAGCGCTCGCATCGACGACATCTTTGCCGCGATGTAGTGGTCATATGGCCGCTTGTAATGGTGCTATGATGAGGTTTGGAAGCCCCCCACCCACACCCACACCCACACCCACACACACACACACACACACACACACACACACACACACACACACACACACACACACACGTTGGTTCTATCTGCCCGTGAAAGGCAAGATAGTTGGTGCAGTTTCCTGTGTTTTGAGTGCGCCAAATAACAGCACACTCACGTATTGATCCAGCGCGGGCGTATTGATCGCCTTCTATGAAAACCAATCCGGTCATAATACACATTGTATGCAAACACGGCGTGACCTCAGGTATTGATTTTTGCAGCATGATTCGGGTGAGAACACGATACCCGCAGACTGGATTAGATATCCACACGTCGGCCGTGATGCATTTTAACGGGTAAATATTAACATCGTCAACACGATACGATCAATTTCCCCGCTGAGTGATCACTTTTATTTACTCCGGCAGTTTGACGTCTTTTTCGCTCCGTCTCGTCCGCCGCTCGGGGCGGATGAAGCACAGCCAACTGACATCAAAGCCCCCCTACACCAAATCGGCGGCAGCCCTCCCATCCCGTCCACGTCACTCTGTGTGTGTGTGTGTGTGTGTGTGTGTGTGTGTGTGTGTGTGTGTGTGTGTGTGTGTGTGTGACAGCAGAGAGGCAACTTCGTTCCATCCTGACGCCCCTGTCACTTCTTACGCGTGTCCCTTTCCCTCAGCTTCGGCAAGAGGTGAAGGGTAGCTTGGGCTTCGGGGGGGGGTGAGTTTACAGGTGACACCAGGTGACCTCCTGACACCCCCCACCCCCACTCTGGGGACAGCCATCCTCGCCTGGACAATGCTATTCTTCATTCCCCTACCACCATTTTGTGTATATTCATTGATCAATTCCTCGAATTTCATCGCCAATTTTGCCTACAAGAACGAGCAACCATGAGCTAGCCGTTAAATGGTTGTTTGGATTTGCAAGTGTGTTTACTTAGCTCGCGGTTGGGAAAAAAAAACAAAAAACTCCCCTTTAGGTGCTCTTCTTTTCGCCGACAAAGCACGCAAGTGTCTGATTCCAGCCTGACCAAACACAGTTAGTCCGTGGCGGGTTTTAATTAGCATAAGTCGGTAATGAGCGCCGGTCGCGGGGGTAACGGATGAGCAAGAGCACCGAGACACGCCACGACCGACCGTGGCGCCGAGAACAAACATCCGACGCATCTGCCAATTATTATTTTTTTTTTTCTTGCCGGCGGAAAAGGTTATTCATCTGACAGCAGCCGAGACGTCCCGGGAAGGGAATACGTTTTTAATTTGGGCGAGTAGAAGCTCGGCGGCATGACTTGCAAGTTGGATGCCGCCATTTTGTTTGCGAGATTGTTGCGGTGCATTTGTGCAGTTGATTGCCAACAAAAAGAGAAGGCCTGAAAATGTATAGACTACCGCCGTGGGAATATTCTCAGGCCAAAGGGAGAGATCCAGATCGTTAATGACTAATCGCAAGTTATCACAGCATTAGCATCGCTTGAGAGCGACGGGCAGACGCGCCTTCACGTACGTCGACAATGCAACTCGGGCAAAAGCGCCGTCCAATTTGTCCGCCCGTCACGCTTGACGGCCGGCTTGACAGCCTAGTTAGCCGCTGCCGTGACTGACAGCTGACAGGCTGGAAGTAGAATGGGCTTCGATGCAACATACGGGAAGAGGAGTTGGGAGTGGGGATGGATGTCGAGGGGAAGGAGAGTACGGGTAGGGCATTTCAAAGTACTTTCCTTGAATCGTTTGCAATAAAATAGTATTATTGTCAAACTAAACATAAAACAACGAGAATTAGAAGAGAATTAGAAGAGGTCAGATAGCTTAATGCTAACAGATAATATGAAACGCCACAAACTAGCTAATAGCATCTGTGTATACACCCAGAAAGTTGGGGTGAATTGACGCCTCATCCTGGGTCTTGGATTTGGACTAAAATACGGTTATTTTTCACCCTGCAGTTTTAAAAGTGTATTAAACGTATTATTATTTTTTAAAAAAATTCTTATTAAATGCACTCTTGCCAATGCGTGTCTGCTCGGCGTGCAGCTGCGCTTTAGTGGGCGTGGACACTCACATGCATTCAACGACAAAGCAAGGGGAGGGAGTGTTGAGGGCCGTTTCTACATCAACGCTGAGTGCTTGTCAAGGACAATGACTTGACGTGTGCACACACTCTCTCTCTCACACACATACACACACACACACACACACACACACACACAAGGCATACACGGCACCCACTCCTGTTGATTTCCTCATTGATTGCCTTTCTCCTCTTCCCCTCGGCTCTCGCAGCTTCACTCGCCGATCTATAGAGTAAATACAGCCAATGCTGATCCAAAGCGAAGAAAAGGCTGTTTACGCTTGAGACCGGCGAGGTGGCTTCAAGGTTGATTGAGAAACAGCAGCACAACTATCCGGGAGGACATTTGAAAGCAACTCGGCGCTACCCTTCACGCCGTTATTTCGAGACGGGGGGGACATTTGAGGCGTTTTAGGTACACGCGACTGATGATGAAAACTGGCTGCCTGCTCTCGAATTTGTATACGGTCGACTTCTGAGGCACGCGCACGCAAAATAACGACTCTGCGAAATAGAACTGATTGCATTTTATACCTGTATCCATTCACATGTGGCGTGTTCAGGCGGTCGTGCCTTGCCCAGTCACAGATTTGGTGTGCGCCAGTGTGTGTGTGTGTGTGTGTGTGTGTGAAGTGGCGGCTGAGGAGATGAGCAGATTCTATCAGGCTAAGTGTGACAGGCCAATCTGTGGACACCCATTTGCTGTGTGGCCAGGAGCATGTCCAGAGTGCTAATGGTCTTCTTCCACGCACACACACGCACACACACACACACACAAAACCTAAAAAGTGTAGAATGACAGACAAATTGACATGCAATAACACCCCAGGCCAAAAGAGGGCAGTGTTGCTATTCGACAACAATTCATTTTTATGAAGGACCCTACGAAAAATTCTAAAAAAAAAAACCCAAAACTAAATTACTGAAACTCTGACAAGTTAGGGTGCCTCACAAAAGTATACTAATAGCTTCACCACATTATTTGACGAAAAATTCTAAACCCCCCCCAAAACTAAACTCTGACAAGTTAGGGCGCCTTCAAAATAAATCACAAAAGTATACTAATAGCTTCACCACATTATTTTGGCTCTTTGATTTTGAAGGGCTGACTTTTGACAGGATGTGTTGCGCCAATGTTGCCTGAGTGTACGCTTGAATCATTTCGACAAGCATGCGCGATTTATACGAAAACCAAAATACGATTTCCTAATAATCCACCCGTCTATTCGTCTACTTCCTGCGTCTCTCCCACCCCGTCTTTCCTTGCACCTCCAGTTTTCGGTCAATAGGCTCCTCTCGCCGCCGCGCGGCGCATCTCTCTGCCCTCGCCGTGTCCTCGCAGCGCCAGCAGGGATGGAGGTGCTAAATGCGGGCCGCTAACACACACACGCACTCGCACGCCGCCATGCGCGCGTGCTATACCCAAGGGCTAGCACTGACACGAGAAAGCCATTTTCAATTTACAGCGGAGTGGGAAATCAAGCAAGCACCCCAGCAGACAAAACGGGAGTTTGACAGCTGGCGGCAAAGAGCGCGATTGTGCGCAACAGATGGAAAAACGGCGGTGGATGGACCGGCAAGTTGAGGCTGGAAAGTGAACAGCTTAGTGTACAAATTGGGACGTCTGCATGCTGTCGCGAGGCTCTCGCTGCTTGATGCTAGGTATACGAACACATTTGATCAAGATCAAATCGCAACATTTTAGGCGTGTGGTAAGTTGACCGTGTTTTTGCCACTCTCAGTTCATGTCGGCTACCTTATAGTGAAAATCCAGCAGTACCTTGAGATTTGAGTTTAATTTATTCGATGACAGTGATAGAACGGCAAATCATCATTCCCCATTCAAATGAATGCGATTGCGATTAATTCGTTCCGGCCCTGCCAAAAACATTCACATTTTGTTTTTTAACAATCAGGAAATAGTGAGTATAAACTCGTGTTCTTTTTTATTCTAACGGCACTTAGCAAACAAGCTCAACAGCGCATAAAAGCCGGCATCTGATATTGTCCTTCCGCCGCACGGAAACCAAGTTGATCTGTGATAGAATCGGATTTGAGTACTCTCGATGGGTGTCAACGACGACGATTGCCCCAGGCACTTACGTGTTGTGCAGGACACACCAGCCGCAGTGAGGGTCCCCTGATCCGAGACATTCGCTACAGGTGGCGTACTGACCGCAGGCTTCCACGGGCATTCTGGAAAGCTGCAAAATAATCATATTAATATTGTGATTTATTGTACAAACCTATATAGACGTCTTGCCAATTTGCCGATGAATCATAACCGACTGCCTTCGGGCGCCGAGGGGCCGGCGGGCAGAGCTGTCGCCTGTTCTTGTTACCACGGCGACAGCATCTGGCATTAACAGGTGTCACTAGCCCTTTTTGATGAATGAGCCGTCATCGGGAGGGTGACCACCGTGGCTCGGTGGCGACAAAATGAGGCCAGGTCGTCACGGGGTTGCGAGAAAAACCTTTGGAGGTCTGTCTGTTTGAAAACGAAGCACACAAGCCCGGGCACAGAACGCTGTTGGCAAGCACGCGCCAACCGTATCGCTTCCTCTAACAGCACACTGGATCAATGCTACACATTCGCTTACTCTGCACCTGAAATTTCAAAAGGCGTCTGTTGGAACGCAGACATGGCAGATGTCAGGCACCTGACTGGAGAAACAAAAAGCTACACTTCACCGCTCGGCTCGAGCGGATTCTGGATCCGCGGGGGGGGGGGCGCAGCTCCATGTCAAAGTCAAGAGGAATGCCGCATGTTATTGCATGAAAAACAATGGGGGTGCTTCTTAGCGTGTGTGTGAAGCAACCAGTGTGTTTTGCCCCCCCCCCCCTGCCCTCCCGCTGCGCTGAGTCCTATTTGCATTAGCCAGATAAAGGGAATGAGCTGGAGATGGAATCGAAGGGGCGAACAAGTGACGCTGACGCTCGGTGCACACGAGGGGTCCGACACACTCAAAAAAAAATAAAGGCCATTGTGTCACGCGTGTGTGTCGGCGCTCTTATCACGAGCGGCTATGAAACCCCCAAATCTCCCGGCGACGCTTGCACCTAGCGTCGCCCTCATCTTTGGGCTTTGTGATGCCGCGATCAGCCGGTCGGAACCGCCGCAAACAATAGCGCGCTATCTTTATAATTTAACACTTGGTCGCTGGCAGATGTGCCCACTTGAGGGGGCACACATTCAGATGCCCCCGAAAAAGTCAACTCTCGGTTCCGGAGCTTGGCTCTTGATATCATTCAGTCAATGCCGATGTTCACATCATATTTCTTTTTTTTTTTTTTTTTCCCCCACTGTGCTATCAGATCACGGCGAGCAAAACTGCCCTCCCGCCATTTTTGGCCAGCACTCCGCCTGTTTCCTTAATGCACGAGATGGAATATAATCAGGCTTTTGTAAGAAGGTGGGTTGGGGGGGGTGGCAAGACCACATTTGAAGTGCACTTGTAGTCTTAACGTGGGAAGGGAAAAGACGCCGAAAAAGTGAGGAACATTGAGAGACCATTCCACTTTCTGTCTGGCTCCTTGACGCAATATCACTGACCTGTGGGGCGGGGGATGTGATCATCTCTTAAATCTTCTTCGTCTACCACTTTTTTTTTTTCTTTTCGACAGATTCCCCCTGCGGCAAAGCGCCGAATGCGAAAAGTGACACTTGTGTTTCCCGTGATCCAACGCGTGACTGCCGTTAAGCGGGTGGCGAGCAAATAATAAGATAATGAAGTTAAATGTACGGCATGTAATGTAAGAATAGCCCCCCCCCCGCCCCCACTGCTGCGCGCGTAATGTATGCGTAGCGCACGTCTCCAATTTGATACCGCACCGCTCATTACTGCCGGCGGATCGGCTACCATCACGGCGGAATGATTATTTATATCAACGGCGATGGGTGGGAATAATAATGGACGACCCGCTGCTATCGCCACGGCGCGTCGCGCAGATCAGAATTAATCACCGGCCACGCTTCCATCAGCGCTGAGATTCAACGCAAGTCGACTTTTCATCACCACTTTAACGTCGGAGTAGGAAACAATTGAACGACTCCACGGGCCGGATCTCTCCGACGTTGTCCTGCTTGCGTCCACACGTCGGCCGCAAAACCCGTCACGCTTGGTTTGGTATCGTAAAAAGCGGCTTAACGGAGGCCGCACGTGTGTTATTGTTTTCGCTTGACGTCCTGAAAAGGTCAAGTGAGGGAGGCGCATCCGTCCCGCCCGTCGGGACTGTCACGGCGTGACAAACGATTGGGACGGGATCAATCATTTTCAGTTCCCTTGCCGCTCAAATGGACGCTTGAGTGGGAGGATATTCGATTGAGCTTTGTTTTTCGTCAGAGGAGGAGAACCATGAAGAAAAAATAAAAAAGATTGAAAAAGTTTGTCCCTTGGCTTCAGTACCGTTACAGTCACGCGTTGACATGCTACGTTAGCTTAACAATTTTGTTCCACTAGCTTGCGGCAAGATAGCGCCGGGCGACATTCCTGCCTCTTTATGTCCACTATCCTGATTTTGATTTTTTTAATCTTCTCTTTCCTCTATGAATAAAAACTTAAATTGGAGAACACCGTGGTTGATCTCCAAATGTCCCGTCCTTGGAACGTTATCCCGCGAGGTTTAGCGATGACTCGACAGTCCCATATCTGCATCTTAATTCGGTCCTAAACAACGGAGACTGGGTCGTTCTCCGCTCGTAAAATATCTGGACGATGACCTTCATCTCAACCATTTCGACCGCGTCAGGCATTCCCGCGGACATCGCCTCATAAAGCTCCCCGCGCGTCTCCTTCTGCTTTCAAAGTGTGTGTGAAAGCAGTTTCAGCCCGTGCGTAGCCCAAGAGGGGAGATGAGTGGAGGAAGCGCACAATGAGAGGCCATTAAAAAGGGAGGACAAAAGGTAAAACTCGACGCTTTGAGTTAGCCGACGAGAACGTCGCCCCCCCCCCCACGCCCCCTCCCCCTTTCGCCGGCTTGACGCGTGTCGCCGCCTGTGTTCCGCTTCCTCGTTAGACCCAACTGGGACGCCGCATCTAAACACCTTCATGAGTCTGGAGGAAATTAAAAGAACACTGACACTAAAAAGCTTTGATTCCTCCTCGAATCAGTTGTCGGGAATTCCCTCGGGGGGAGGAAGCGGTTGACTTTGAACGATCTCACCTCAGCACAGTACACATTCTCAATAATTCACACTTACAGATCTGCATTTGCTGCGCGCAATATCAATAATTGAGCGCCAACAGCGCGGCGCTGAGCCGTAGCTTCGACAGGAAGCCCACAAAAAACAGTCTCAAGGGAAGCCAGGCCCTGAGAAGAACCAGGAAGTCTGCCATCTTGGTTTCCAGCCACCATTTTCGGGTCATCTTAGCCATTTTCTAGATGTCCGAGAGGTTTTCGTCCGATTGCTAGCATAAACTGGACGGATAGGCGATGATCTCGGCGGTCCGGATTCTGAACTTTGACCGCAAAATTCTCCGTATCGGCCTAGCAACAACTAAATCAAAAGAGGACATTCCAAGGGGGCGCTAAGAACAACGCGGGTGGAGCTCAATCGACCCGCTCTGTTGTCGGCATCCTGTCGCGAGCTGCTTTTTCCGTTCGGTGCCCGGACGCAGCATGGAGCTTCGTCTTATTGACGGCTCAGGCTGCTTTTAATCCTGTTTGCCGCATCAGGTCTGCGAATCTGCGTGCAACAAAAGTTGATCGTACTGGTGTGTTTTTTGGGTTTTTTTTTTTTTTTTTTGTCAGTGTTGTTTGGATATTCCCAGATGGGCCTCCCAAAACACTCAGGAAGGAGGCCGCTTTTAACTAGGCTAATAGACTAATTACCCGGAAGCCACTCCCACTGCCGAACTGGACGGCCACAATCACTTCGTGTTTATTTTTCCAACGCGTGCTAATTGAAGTAGCTAAATTTGTAAAGCGAGATGAGACGTGAGGGAATTGAACACAAAGGCAAAAGAAGGAAATTAAAAAATGGTAATCATTTTAATGCGATACACTGTCGTCTTCTTGGAGCCCAATTATGGATGCTAAATTCCGAGAAAGATAGGAGTAAGGAATCTAATTTTGCCGGTTAACAGATTTGCAGAACTGATAATTGGATTCCATGACAAAACGGAATCCTAATTGGACCTACTGCACTCATTCCCAGTCTCCGCCTTGGCATTTTCTCTCCCTTCCTGCCTTGAGGTCTTCATTTTGATCTTGAGCCCAATTCCATTCTGATTCATAATGCTCTGGGAAATGTTCATGACACACTCCAAAGCTGTCGGACTGATGGAGACCATCGAGAGAAACGCGAGGGTCGGAACGCTGAGTCACATGTCCGCAGACTTCACGTGGTACTATATATTTTTTTGCCCCCGATGGAGGTAGCCAGAGCCTCTCGGTGCCGGCGTCCATTAGTCTCACCTGGCTCTCGGACATGACGTAGAGGTAGTGGTGATCAGAGGAGAAGGCCATGTCTCGGAGGATGGGTCCGCTTTCCACCGCCTGCACCGTCTCGTACTGCAGGGCCCGCGACGAACCGTCCACTCGGATCTGGAAGGAAGCGCGAGAGCAGACGTGCGATGCGTCAGCTTTTGGCACGTCAAACAGTTGAATCGAGAAGATTCAAATGCCGGGTGGACTCATCAGCAGCAAGTGGAGGCAATTCGATCGCAGTCATCAACGCTATTTTTTTATTATTTTTTTTTTAATCGCAACGGAGAGAGTTGCAAACTCGGTTTACGTCGCACCCCGTTCATTTCCTCCGAGTCCATCGATCGCTAGCCGCCATCCACGTTTCGTCATTAATACAGCCTCACGTTAATGTTTCATCAGACTTACAATCATTAAGGCAGCCACAGTGGCGGTAGCCAACATTATCTGATCGCGTTTCCACGCCAATGAAAGGGGATTAGCCGCTCTATGCTAAATGGATTACAATGCTAATCTCCGCTATCACATTAGCACGACACAATGGGCCTCCGCTGCCGGGCTGACTTCATTTTTTTTTTTTGTCAGAGAGTGGTCGGAGAAGGTGACGGATCTATTTGGCCCCCTGATTGACGCCCACTCATGTCTGACTCACACAAAAAAACAAGAAGGCAACTCATTCCGGGCCTTTAGAGACTAAAAAGTGCAGAACGTGTGACATACTGACGCCAAAGTAAAAAAAAAAAAAACGGACAAATGACACCATGATGGGAATAATAATAATACCGCGGCCAGAGTGTGTGTTGGATCTCACGCTCAGCGGGTCTAGCAGAAGGTGCTACGCAGTCAGGGAAGCCATTCCGGTGCGAAAAACCCACGGGATTACCCGCTCGCTGCGTCAACATTTTGCCAGCGAGCGCCAACAAAAGGCGCATTGAAAACTTTCATCGGACTCTGCGAGGAATCAATTTGTCGCGGGGCTCCGACGAAGCAAACAATAACCGCGCAGAGCGACCGGCGCGCTCGCTCGGCAACGGAATCTGGATTCCGAGAGGGTATATAGCGGCGCGGTGAAGCGGTGCGCTAAGCGCGTGGCACAATGGCGGCTAACGCCTCCGCATTTGGAAGGCATCCAGAGTGAAGTGCTGAGTAAAGTGTCACCGCGCTCTGACCCGAGCTGCGTGGGATGGACGGCGATGCCATCCAAGGTCACGGCCCCACCTTCCGGAATACGGGCGAACGCATCAACGTGTGTTGCTGCGGCGGGAACGATCGAGTGTCCCCGCCTCGCTTTGAGAACATCCTCTGTAGAACATCCTCTGGTCATGACAGCTTCACAGCTTGGCAGCAGCTAAGCCTCCCGCCCCCACCAAAAAAACCCGTCTGATGACTCATTCCGAGCATCTTTTGTCAAGCAAACGCAGCGTGTCGCTCAGGTAGACGACAGGGCGGCCTGCCGACTGCGAAGGAGACGGGAAAAGGGGGAAACACACGGCCGCCGCGTAACGACGACGTGTCTCTTCACGCGCCTCATTCATTCCGACAGCGATACAATGGCGGCGGTGTGATTGCCAGAATTTGTCCGGCTCAATAAAAATACGTGACGGGCGGAGAGAAAAAAAAAAAAAAAAAGCCTGGCTCCATTTCACAGCGTCAATCATCCGCTGGAACAAAAACGGCGTTCTACTGCCTACGTGGAGCTTCAGGCGAGATGGACCCGTGGCTGATTTGACATTAATCCGATGGTAATAGCGTCGACGTGTCGCGGTATTTTGCTCCGGAGGAATAAAAACCGGATGCAGCGCTTAGGCTGGGAGGCCTACGGAGCAAATGTTTTGCTTTACGCCGGTCGGAACAAGGCGGAATTGCATCATGGAGCGTTTCCGGAAGCCATAAAAGAAAATGTGACCTTAAAAAGAAATAAATAGAGGTGGGCGGGATTTATACTCGCCCAAGCCCGGATTTCCATCACCTCTCATCTGGGATCCGACACCAAGCCGGCGAGAGCTGCGGGGGGACCCCCGGCTTGTTGACTGACCGCCGTGGCATTCAAGGCGTGCTAGCAGTTAGCCCGCAGGGTCCACGCGGTGTGCTAATCTAACCCTCCTCCGCCCCCGCTGTGCAGAAAAGCAACCGGAGTGTTCCGGCGAGGGCTGATGGTGTTGGACGTGAAAGGGGACATGTGTCTGGAGGCCTCCCGACTCGTTTTTTTTTTTTTTTTTGTTTCCCCTCGGCCTCGCCCTCCCTTCGCTCCACAGAGGTGAGTGGCAGATCTGCCCGTTATCGCTGCCTCGGAGCCACGGGGGGAGGTAAGGGGGGGGGGCTTCACAGCTCTCCGTCGGGCTCGTCTATCTACTTCCAGGTGTCAGTTTGACTGGACCACCCGCAGGTGCAAGGAAAGAATTTTCGACGTTGGGTGCGATTCGCTTTTCCATCGTTCGCCAGAGGAAAAAGCAGCGGAGCGCGTTTCCCCAAGTCGTTCAAGTGCCAAATGTAAAGTTTGGCTCGTTTTTGTGGTTGGCCCGAGACGCCGAGGACAATACGGACAAATGTTATATGCTTCCAACTCTGCGGGATTCCGTTTCTGTTCCAGGACGATTGCGCCGGCGCTCCATCCACCTTGTTCCAGTTTGCTATGGAACAACTTGAGATCCCCCTTTCGCGCTTTGTCGTCGAATCAGGAGACAACAGCCGTCGTGACTTATGAAGGCGCTAACCTCCGAGCAAATTTATGCGCGGGAACTTGTTCCAAATGTGAGTTGGGAATATCGCGATCGCACCGCCACGCGCGGATCAACTTTCCACAGGGGGGGCGGCTCTCCGCCAAAAATTTCGCGATCGGAAAGATGCGCCGTTCTTCCACGTTGACAGCATCCTGCCTCCCGAGCCGCCATTTCGGTAACGAGAGCGGGGTCGGGTTTTCTTTTGAACTCGACGCCGTGACCCGTGATGACCTGGAGGCGAACATTTGGCGGAATAGGAACAGGAATCTTGTCTGAACTGAAGCTCCTTTGGTGATGGGCTTTGATCACAACCCCCCCCCCCTTCCCAATACCCATCTTCACATAACGATGTCCCTCCATCGGTTTTATCTCCCATCAGAGGATCAATCGCTCGCTCCCTCAGACAGGACGCCAAGTCTGTCTCGGCCTGATAATGACCTATTGACATCCCGGCATCGCGGTGCGTAAGGCGAGGGGGGGTGGGGGTGTGACTTTTCAGACCACCCGATTGCCGACTCCCTCGACAGCTCGTCGGCCTTTTTGCGTCTGCTCGATATTCATTCTCAGCGCGTTTACCGGGACGGCGGTGTGGTTTGTTCCGATCGCTGATGATAAACAGAAGCACGCGCGTCAAGAGAAAACGTCGAGGAAGTACCGAGAATGTTTACTGAAGAGAACAACAACGGGGAAAGTCAATGTGTGTGTGTGTGTGTGTGTGTGTGTGTGTGTGTGTGTGTGTGTGTGTGTGTGTGTGTGTGTGTGTGAATAATAGATGGGGAGGCGAAAGCCCAGACACCGTCTGGGAGCAGCCTGGATCTTGTTACCACACACCGCCACCAGGACAACTGAAGACACCCGTACACACATGAAAAATGCGGGTGTAAAATGCGGGTGACCTTTGTGCACCAATTTCGAAAACCACGATCATGGTTTTAGTATCACCCGCATTTTTTTTTTTTACATGGAACATACCTGAACGTTAGCTCCACTTGCACAATGCAAGTCCACACGCACTTTTCTGACGCTGCCATTTGTTTTGGCGGTCCGGCGGTACCTAACGTTTCTGGCTTGTGTGCGCCGAGCTCCCCCCGAGTGCCTCGCCTGTGCAAATTTGTTTCCCGGCACGCCGGTGATTTATGACTTTGCCTCCAAAGTTTTCTAATTAAAACGAGAAGCCCCTCGTAGGCAATTCCTCAGAGATAAGCAGGTGTGGTGGATGCCTGTGTTCTCCGTGCGGAATATCCCCCTGCCGCCTGCCCCGAGGCCACTTGATTCGTCTTTGTATTCTTTCCTCGCCCCCCCCCCCCCCCCCCCCCCCCCCCC